GTCTTGTTTTCCGTGGTACAGCAGGTTTGTGTCTCGTTTGAAGCTTGCAGATTGTCCCACTGAAGGCACCAACCATCACTCAGCAGCACATGGATGTATCCAGTTCTAACCAGTTAGAAAGTGGCACCTCTAGTCAGTCATGGTGTTCCCTACATACAGACAATGTTCCAAGCCTGCACCTCTCCAAGATGCCTGAGCTGGATGTTACTCTCTGGCTTAGTCCCAGTAACCTGAATAAAGCTCAGAACCTCCTGGTGAAGTTTACATCCCTTTCAGAAAGGCAAAGAGTTTGGAAATCAGAGCTGTTCACTTGCATACCTCTCAGTTACAGATGCATCTGAGGAAATTATTCCCATTAAATTTAACAGAAATATTATTTGACATTGATGCATTTTAATTAACATTACCATTTGCCATCGTGAACAAAACAGAACTAATACAGCGTGATTTCTGAAAAATTAGGTTATCTCTATTCATTTTGAAAGCACATAACTACTCCTGTGTATTAAGTAGATACATTTTAGTGTTAAGTATAACAAAACGTTGTGTTACACTACAGTCTCATAGATAAAGCTAATTATATGGAAAATTCATTCAACTGAGTTTGCATTGCTTGATTTGAATCTGAATTAGGAAGAAATGGCTTTGTGTTTAGTTTTCTAATAAAGGAACATGAAATGCACACATACATAATTTTACTGTGAACATCTGAATCAAAGAAGTCTCTAGAGCTCGAGACTGTTGCTGCTCAATACACATTGAATCTCCATGACCTCCATGAATCTCAGCACAGGCACAAGGTTCTCTGTGTGAAGAAACAACTGCAGAAATGAGGCTTTACTTCCCCATCCTGATTTTAACTTCTCTGGCAATATTTCGAATTGAATTGCCACATTTTTGTCTGGGTCCTAATTAAAAGTATTTGAGCTTCTGCAATCACTGAAATTACAAATCATCTCAGTTCTTTATTACAATCCTGATATTGTAAGCACAAAAACTGGCATGCACTCAGTGTTTTACAAAAGAACTTTCAAGAAACTGCATGAAGTTGACAGGTGGGACATGCTGGGGTTTTTCTCTCCTACCTTAAGACAGGTATATATTTTCCTCTTTCACAGATAAAACAACACAGGAAAGATTATGGAGAAATCTACTCTCTCCACCACTCTAGGAATTGAGACTGCTTATGATTAGAGGGTTGGAGGAAGGGCTGAGAGAATTGGGATTGTTCAGCCTGGAGAAGAGAAGCTTCAGGGTGACCTAATTGTGGCCTTCCAGTTGCTGAAGGCAACCTACAAGAAAGATGGAAGAAGGACTTTTTGCAAAGACATGTAGTGACAGGACAAGGGGAAATGGCTTGTGTAAAATACAGCCTCTGATCAAAAATTCACAAGCATACACAGGTATCAAAAAAATCCCATAGTAATCCAGAATTTTCATTATTTTTTGAAAAAAAAAATGAACTATAACAGAAGGAAAAACATTGTAAAGAATTATATAAGGTACAAATATATGAAGAAATTACACTGACTGAATGGAAGACTGGGGAGGGAATTTAGTTTCAAAAAATACATCCCTACATGCTCAATCTAGTACTTTAATGAGTTCTTCAGTACTGAAATTTCTACAGGGCAAGAACAAATAGTTGTTTTCCAATTAATTATCTACAGGAAATGCAGCTCCAATGAGATGCTAGAATGATTAGAAATAATAAAAGCATCCACTGTTGACAGTGTTTCCACTGAATTATTAAAAGCAATAATAATGAGAAATAATATGTAGTAATAATGAGAAGTAATAGGTAAAAAAATTACAAATTATTTCTGGCACCCTACACCTCAGAAATCAGGTCCAATTAATATAAATCTACAGAGGCATCCTCTCTTCAGAGCAGCTTTTAAAATTCTAACTGAATAAACAGAGAATGCAGGAAAAACAGAGAGAAATATTAGTCCAGTGTTGAAAAAAATAGTTTTAAATTCATGGTGATCAAGGAAAATGTCACAATGTAATGCTTTTCCAGAGGGGGGAAAAACCAATCCAAACCAAACAAACAAAACCAAACAAAATCCCCAAAACAAAAAAACCACCCCCACAAAATTAATAACTTCTGAAATAGTCCTTATATCATGGTAGAATATTAAAGAATCATTATTATGTATTAAGACAGCACAACTGCTTGTTTATAAAAATTGGTGTGTGAGAAAGTAAAAATTTGTCTCATTTAATACCAGTACGAAAATAATGAGAAGAAATTCCCTATCCTTGATACTCTTTAACATGACAGTGGAAAAAGTAATGCCTTTATTATATTATTTTCAGAACAGGGTGAATCAAGCAGATTGAGCAATTCTTGCTGATGAGCTCTCTGCTTTAGGAGTCTGAGAATACTCTGCAGGCTCCAGAAAAGTAAGGAGCAATGTATGACTTCAGACCAAGAGTGCAGCTGTTGACAGGATGAAGAGATATTATGCAAGATGTATTATATAAGAGATATAATAAACAGGTTAATAATCAATTAACAACCAAAACTATCAGCAGGTTACTTTAAACACCAAGAAAGAACAATTATTCATAACAGCTTAGAAGGGAAACTAAGGCAAAGATTCAGACCAAGAAGGTCAATTAATTTCCTTTATATATGTGAGACATGGACACATATGAAAACTTATGGGAAGAAATGTAAGGATTTTTATAAACAGGGTACAAGGGTGATGGGTTATAGACAAGTTCCAAAGGGACATGGCATAAAAATATATGAAGAACTAAGCCTAGAAAATCCTTTTGACTCCATAGGCAAGGCTTGTAACCAGGAGAGCAGAAGACCAATATCCTTGGAATCTTATGTGCCTTTTCAAAAGCTGCAAGCCCAACCAACCCAACAAAAACTGCTCTTGAAAGTAAGAACTTATAAAGAGGAATATCTGCTTCCTAATATAAACCATGAAGGTTTATATTCTTCATGGTTTCACAGGCAAGCCTAATAGACCAGAACTCATTGGACTACTTACGCAGATTTTGCTTTAGGTCAAGAATACAGATAAAGCCATCACAGCATTCCTAAAGATTTGGCACCTTTTGCTTCATTAAACTTCAACTCAATTTATGAGTTCAGTTGAAGATAGTTCCTGATATCCTTACATTTTAACTATAAAGTTTAAGTGACTGGTTCTTTCTTCCAATCTTCTGACACCTAGAATGTAGACATCTAGCCTAAGGTGGATGCTCCTACTCAGGGAAAGAGATCTCCCTCTTCAGTCAAGAGAGAGAAAAAAAAGACACTTTCAGAGCAAGTCTAATGCCAGTTTTCTTTGACATTACTGTGCCTAATTAAATATTCAATAATATAAACTATATATAAGTAAAACATAACCTCTATATATATGCATGCCTTGCTTATAAACAGACTTTCTTCCGTTAGAACAGCATTCTATTTTCCAGAAGAATTTCTTGGATGCAATCACCTCCTAAGTTCATTGTATGTTGTTACAGTACATTGGCTCCACATTAAAATAGCTGCTACTCCATTGTGTTTCTACTTCTCAGACAAAATGCACAGATCTCTGGTCATCTTAAATAATCATGCATTCAATAATAAATTATTGCCTGTGGTTCAGGTCTTCTTTTTATTTTTCTGATTTTTATTTCAGAAACCTTTAACTTTGGCATCAGTCCAGTATCCTGTGAGAGTATCATACTACTCTGGAGGCAGAACTGCAAATTCAGCTGAAAACAGACAGTCACTCTCCCTTCCTTGAACACAAGCTGACATTCTTCAGGTAAATCAAAAGCTAGTGATAAAAAATTCTACAATCATTACTTTTTTAAGTCTGCAATTTGTGTCAGCACCGAGGACAAAGCAATATTTTAAAATATAAAACTGAAGGATATTTTTAATTAATGGTCAGTCTTCGCGAGCGAAGATCTGGGGAAGGTCTTTCCACCTTCCAGCCTGCGCATTGGATTTTTTAGGTGAGACACAGTGTGCGCGGAACTGAGCCCACCCTTTAATCCTAAGGTTCATCTGCCGGGGCCAAGCGAGCTTGGACGGTGGCAGCGAGGTCCTTAGGACGTAGGTGGGTTGCCTTTAAGGGCTAACGAGCCCCACCTGCCCGGGAGTGGCCCTGACCGGGAATCGAACCCGGGTCTCCGCGGTGATAGCGCGGCGCCTTTACCACTGGACCACCAGGGGCTCCTGAAGGATATTACACAGCAAAAGATGTCATGTGAGCCTTGTTTTAGTGGCTGAAAAGATGTGAACTACCTACACTGAACATCTAGTACTGTTGTAGTCATAGATAGTGATATGTCAAGAACAGTGAATGCAATCTGATTATGTCAAAATATGCGGCTATTTCTGCTGCTTGTTCTCTTCCTACACTTCCTTCCATCTGTTGGTTTTATTTATCTGCTCTGTCTAGTTCTTTAGACTCTCATCTATGAAAGACCAAAAACTCTGCCTATACTTGTCTAATGTGCCCCATGTAGACTCCTGGCCTGCCTGGAGTTCTGAGACATCCAGCTAAAAATTAAAATACCAGAAAACATTTGTCAGGAAAATTCAATATGATACAGGGAATAGAATCATAGAATCATTTAGGTTGGAAAAGACATTGAAGGTCATCAGGTCCAACCTTTGACCAAACACCCCCACATCAATTCACCATAGCACAAAGTGCCACGTCTAATTGCTTCTTGAACACCTTCAGGGACAGTGACTCACCACTTCCCTGGGCAGCCTGTTCCAATGCTTAACCACTTTTTCAGTGAAGAAATTCTTCCTGATGTCCAACCTCCTTTGGCCCAGCTTGAGGCCAATTCCTGTTGTCCTATTGCTTGTTACTTGGGAGAAGATGCTGACCCCCATCTGGCTACAGCCTCCTTTCAGGCAGTTCTAGAGAGCAAGAAGGTCACTCCTGAGCCTCATTTCCTCCAGACTGAGTCCCCCCAGCTCCCTCAGTGCCTCCTCACAGGGCTTACCTTCTGGATCCTCCCCCAGCTCTGTTGCTCTTCTTTGGGCTGCTCCAGCACCTCAGTGCCTTTCTTGTAGAGAACTGGACACAGGACTCGAGGTGTGGCCTCACCAGTGCCGAGTACAGGGAGACAATCCCTGCACTGGTCCTGCGGGCAACTCTACTTTTTATACAAGCCAGGATATCACAGGGCACACTGCTGGCTCATGTTCTGCCACTGTCAACCAGCACCTCCAGGTCCTTTTCCACTGGGCAGCTTTCCAGCCACTCTGCCCTCACCTGCAGCACCGCATGGGGCACTTATCATAACGGCTATGGAAAATTAAAAGGTTATGAAATCAAGTCAACACAGGCATGGAAAACAAAATGTATAGCCATCAGGGTTTTTTTAAGCACTCATGAAGGTTTTATATTTAGAAATGACTGCTTCTATCAGTGCTACTAAATCCAACAGATAAATTTCACTCCATTAGATCCAACAGGCTCTGCTTTTACAGTGTCACTCATCTGAGAGATCTCAGCAGGAGTTGCCTCATAGTATCCACGTCTAAAGAAGGCCAGAAACTACATGTTACCTCTGTAAAACTGGGCTGTTGCTTTTCACTCTGAACATATATATGTTTCTAAATGGAAGCTACTTATAGCTACCTAGAGATGTGGATTAACAAAAAAATTAGGCCTCTGCTGGAAAAAAATCACTATTCTTTTAAGTCTGTTCTTTCTTCGGTCAGTAAAGTCTTGACTCTTGGAAATTAATAAAAGAGATAAACAACTGTATAAGCAGAAATGTCCATAAGTAACTCTATTTTATGGGATTAGCTATTTTAAAAAAAAACAAACCCACAAATCCAAAACCAAACAGATTAAACGTCAGTCATAATGTAGTTCAGACGTGAATTATAAATTGATTAATTACTGCTCTAACTGAATTTATTTTTTGCTTCAAATCACAAGTTAAAGTTGATGATATAATACATAGTTTAGTAATATTAAATATCTCTTCAGAATAGTTTTTCTTTGACACTAGAGCACAACGTGTAATCAATCAAGATAAATAAGACCAGGTATCTGTGAAGAGAAATTTCTTGAGTATTACCTAGTGGATATCCCTTGTTGTAGAAACATTTGACGCCTCCATCGGTATCTGCTGAAGAATCGAAGGAAACTGAAGAATAAAAATACCACAGGCAAGGAGTGAAACATGTACTGGTCTCACCCAGCTTGTTCCAGCCTGTTAATATTTCCAATTTTCTATTAATTCCAGGGTGACTGAAACAAAGATTAAAAATAAAGAGAGAAGAAAATGTAATTTCTGCCATCCAAAAACTTGCAATTTTGGCAATGCTGTGCATCACAAAAACAACTGTCCCCTCCACCTGAAGGTTGTTTTTCATAAAGTCTGACTTGAAAAGAAGTTTCCTCAGGAAGTAGCAAAGTGTTCAGAGGTGAAAGCATTAGACTGACTGGTTGGCTTATTTTGAAACAGTTAAAAACAACACCAAAACAAAACACACTGACCTGCCGGGTTCTGAACGTGGAGGGCATTTTATTTCTTTCCCACTGTTTTGTTGTAAGAGTAGAGAACTGGACTGTAGGTAGCTCCTGGGAAAACCTCTCTGAACATCCTTCAGAGTGCAAGGCCAACAGACCCACGGACACAACAGGCTGAACTCATTCCTGACACGGTGCTCTTGGCTCCTGGTATGGCTGAGTGTGGTTTAGAGATTCTATTATTAATTTTGGCCAAGCAAAAAATAATAAAAATGACTCTATTATAGCAGTGCCATCAAGACAGAAGGTACAGGTATACTCTGAATTATGACAGTGCAGAAAATCATTTCCCATTCTGTGACAATCTACTGAAGTTCTCAGACATCTGAACACTCAGTTTTGTTGTTTATGCGTGTTGTGAGAACTATACAGAAGTGTTCACCTTATAGCTGTCCTAATTTTTTCAGAGATATCAATCTGCAAGCTTTCATAAAGATTTGGGGGGGGGGGGGAAGGAGGGGCTTTACCTCCTTTGATGTATGGTTATTTGTCAAAAACTTCGGCACATTTGCATTTTGTTTCCCCAGGTAATCTCACATACTTGCTTGCTAAGCTTAAACTTGGGGAAAAGCAAATACATTCTAACAAGAAGAATTAACAAAACAAGTGTGCAAGCTAAATGGAGGCACACTGGCTCTGACACATTGGGAAGACCTACTGAATCAAACTTTAATATCAAATACTGTGGCTAGGGAAACATCACAGATTAAAAACACTTCCATCTATTTGGGAAGAAAGATGTGAGATTACGAGAGATTAAAAGGGACCAAAAAGGGATTTGCTTTTTAAGACAAAGAACAAGGAGTTTATTATGTTCAGAGTATCACATCAATAGGCACTTTTACACAAAAACAAAAGCAAAACACTGAGTTAAAAACCCAGAGCATTTGAACAAAATATCTAAAATAAAATATTCACATTTTCTTTATTTTTCAATGGAAAATTCAAAACAGTAGAAGCAATAATATAGTGTAAAACACAGAAGAGAATCCACTAAAGGGTACAGCCACTTCAGTCAAATTTCCTTAACTAATCATTGCCCCAGTTTATGGAATATACACCCCACTACAGGTATTTTTAATCTGGTCTTTATTATAAAACTAAACAAAACCAGCTAAATCCACCCAGCTGTTCACAGTAAAGTGTCTCATTTGGAAAGCCAGACTTCCAAAAATACAAATGAATATGAGCACTGAAATCCTAAGAGGAGACAGTGCATGACACACGGAATGATTATAATGCACTGGGTTTTCTATAGCCAAAGGTTTCTGCAGAGCAGACAAGATAGATTTCTGTCAAAAAATCTGTAGGAATAGCTCCTCTTGTCCTAGAGAAAAGGAATAAGTCATGTGTTTTCATGATGTCTTTTCTAGACATATTTCACCTAAGAGCACACAACACAGGGAGTCCTACCATCTTTTACTACCCTTCTGCAGAATTTTCATGAGCCAGGGTCTGACAGATTCTGCCAACATAGGGCCCAGGACTGGATTGGCATTTATGTTATATTAAAAAATCCAAACTATTAAATTAATTAGTTAACTCTCCACTTGGAGTCCCCCTTTAATGGATGTGATCACTCCCTTTAACCTGTGAGACACAGATGAAACTACAGCATTCTTGAACAAGGGAAATACAGCATGTGCTATCAAGGCAATGCCCCCATGCAGTAAATAGTATTCTCTTTTGATTCAGGCAATTGTAAACCAAGAAAAGTAGCCAGATTAAAAACTAATCTCTCCTGAGATCCTCAAGATATTAGAAACACTTCTAGTTATTCTTCACTATGTTTATTTTGAAGAGGGGTTTCTTTATAGAGTGAGCTTAGGAGTTCAGTGTAGCCCCAGGGTTTAAGCACTAAAGACAGCACCAAGTGTACTAAACCCATGCAGTGTTCTATCTCCTGCCTCCACCAATACTACCCTTCACTAGGGCAAAAAAAATGTCTGAATTCAGAGCAATGTTTTCCTCAGATCCCACTGAGAGTCTGTCATTAGAACAGTGGCTTTCCCGTAAAGACAACATCTGACTTACCAATGCACTCAGGAGATCTTTTATTCTGATCCTACTTACTCTGTTCTTCCTCTCTCATCCTCTGCAAACCTTCCTTCAGTCCCACAATGTACAGTGGTGGGATTGAAGTTTAGTGCCCTAATCTTGGTAATCACTTTGCAATTTATTTAACCCAAGTAGAAATGCATGGACATTTATTCATAATAAAAATCACAAATGGAGAGCAATAGTGTTTCTTCATTGAGAATATAAGAAGCTAAGCTAGTTTAATTACATCCAGATATGGTTATGGCATGAGGATTGAAAAAATGTGATGCAGTCAGATTCAGGATCATTTCATTCAGATCAAGTAGAATGTACGTACAGTGAGGGGGAAATGTGAGTCACTGTACTGCAGTACCAGGCAACACAAGCTGTTAAGATTGCAGGCAAAGAGCTGATAGTAAGAGAGTTAAGGTTGGCTCAGTGGATGTTCATGACTGCAATCAGTACTGCCCAACAGAGGACCTTAACTGCCCTTCCCTTTCACCTCCTTCAATATTCTAGATGCAATTTAGGTTTTTGCAGCCTCATCACTGTTCAGGACTCTATGTCAGAGCAAATAAAATATCATTTCTGCTTCAGTGCAGATTCCAGGGCAAGATTTTAAAATGCAGACCATTATTGTTTTTTGGGATACCAAGATATTTCATCCCAATATTTTTTTTCTATCTCTCCTGAAAGTAAAGAGCACACTAATTTCAATAAGAACCACATTATAAAGACTTCATTGAGGTCTGATCAAAGTCCTGGAAAGAAGTCCTTTTACAGAAGCCAAATAGTCTGACTCATGTAATGGTCCTACTGCAGCAAATACAATTACTTAAATGTATAAAGTTGTATATGTGCATAATGACTTGCAGGATTGCATATCCCTCTCCTAGAATGCACAGAATGCAGCAGTTTTTATGGTAAGATTGAAAGCTTGGGTATGTATCAGCACTTTTTATCTTAAGCCTTTGTCACATATTGCTTAAAAGTTGTTCAGCATATTTCTTAGAAGCAATGAACTGAGAAATGTATACTTTCATCATTGAGTTCATTTAGAAAATTTGAGCATTTAGGACTGAGAAGGATATTTTTTAAACAGATCAATAATGGCTATGACTTCAGATTACTCTGAAGCTAAAACAACAGAGAATTGCAAAGAAGAAATTCGGTCTGAAAACTACTGTTTCAGAAGAAGAGTGCCTTCAAACATTCAGGGAAAAAATGGGTTTGACTTCATAAGACTAAAAATTGTTTTCCCACTGAATACTTACAGTACTTAGCTAAGAGTGCCAAATGGTGCACGTAGCTAAGGGAAACAGCAAGCTGAAAAACCAATCACAATGCAAGTATTTGCAAACCAGAGTTAAATAAAGCCCTGATCTTAGCCAAGGAGTATTATCATTACTTCTGTGCTATGTTAATCTCATTGCTCTCCTTCGGACAGAATATTTCAAGATCTTATTTCCTACCATTTACATCAAGAAATCCTATGGGAAGTTTCAATTTACTCCTCCTTATAATAGCATTTTCTCCCCCAAACCAGGCTTTAAGTTCAAAGACCTTCATCCTTCTACAGTAGATTGCACGAAGTCTTTGAAGCAAAAAGCAGAAAAGTAAAGAGATGTTTCCACATCCATGCATGACATTCCTCCATTTGTTTGCCATATGTCTTGTGAACATCTCAGAACAGTGTACAGCTTTTTCCCTTACCTGCAGTCTGAGAGCTATGCTTAATATGAAGTTATCATTTTATGTTCTATCTCCTTCAACCAGAATGACAGCCAAGAACCACAGAATTTTGGGGCAAAGCACAACAAAATAAATGTAAGATGCAGCTGTGCACATCCAGCTGTGGCCTTCCAGCATCTACAAAGAAGAAATGATAAGACAGACATTTTCCAGAGCTTTGTCATCCTCAGCAGCAAAACGTGACTCCAACAGTCAATCATAACTTCTCACCGTTCAACTATAAGGGTGTCATTAGTACGAAGTCTACACAGATGCCACAGAGGACATTCATCCAGGATCTCTCTAGCAACATATCAAGGGTTTGATTTACAGGAAAATCAGGATCCAGTCACACTTCACATCAAGGAGTTAAACAAAGATGAATATAATGCTCAGGCCTCTAGATGCAGTAGAAGCATTATAAAGCCTTGAAGTTGAGATCAGACTCTCCTGTAGCCAAGTGCTACCCAGCACCAGATGAGACCAGAAAAAGCTTTGGCAGCAAGTCAGTGATGGTACACAGTCCAGCCTCAGCCCGAGTTAAAGCAGCACTCAATGGCTTTTAGCCCAGTATCAGCAGAGACACAGGGTCCAAACAGGCACTGTCCTTGACCCCTAGGAAAAGCTAGGCTGTCAACTGCCAGCTCATCAATCACTGACAGGAGCAGTCTGTATTCCAGCTCCACAGCAAAGCAGATCAATCACAGTGCCATTGCATTTACCCAGAGCTCAGAGTATATTTAGCTGCCCACAGTTACCATGGGCTAATTGGCCCAGCACACAGGTGGTTACTGTAATGAAAGTTGAGCTGCACTCATGTGTATGTAGGGCGTTAATCCAGATGGAAAAATCTCATATCAACCCATTTCCTACCAGTCTGAAAGCCAAAGTATCTACTCTTTATCCAGCATGGCCCAAATGTAGAGATGGCAGCTGTGAAATGGCTTACAAGCAAAGGGAAGCTGCCCTACCTTCAAAGGTAACACAGGGTAAGAAAAACGCTCTCAAGAATCCAGTCCTGCCACAGCAAAACTGAATGAAACAAACTTCAATACCCTACTGTTTTTCTTTGCCCAACTTGTAGATTGCAGATTGCTAATGGGTTGCTGATGTTTAAAACTTCTTGGAGCTGCAAGGCACAAGAACAAAGAGTTACAGCAGAGTCTGGGCCCTTATTGGAAAAGTTTTGCTTTTTAAGTACTTACTGATGAATCTGTTGGCTGCTTAGTGACCTAAGTTGGTCTACTTCTGGACAGCATAAAGTTGATGCAGGAAACAATGAGTCAGTAAAGAATGTAAAATAACACAAAACAAGGAAATTAGAATACTGAAAGAATTCTTCATCTAAAACAGCACATATTGTGATCATCGGATATCTAAATGTCATAACAGGAGTTAGAATAGGTAGATGGCTATAAAATGATTAAAACCTATAAAGACTATCTGATATATTTATCTTAAAACAAGACATTTTGCATAGATTTCATTGCAGAAACTCTTATATAAATTTTC